CGTTAGAACGCAATAGATCACGTTAGAACACAATAGATCACGTTAGAACACAATAGATCACGTTAGAACAATAGATCGCATTAGAACACAATAGATTGACAAGTTTTTTCAGCAGTAGCATTGGGCTTGCCAGACGTATGCACATTGTGATCGGGTGACAGATACAAGCAATCAAACAAGCTGAAGATGGGCGCGGTGACAGCGGGGCTGATCGAGCAATCTATAGTTTATGATCGGTCATGGCTGCCTGAGCCATAGTTTATGATCGGCCATGGACGCCAATTTAAGGTCGAGGTGGCTGATGGAGAGCTTGCAAAGACGCCAATATCTCGAGCTGAAAGGCCCTACTCTACAGCCTGGCCTCCACATACTGCTCATGCGCGGCAGCGCAACGTAGAATTGATGGCCGGGATTGCGCAAACACGTGCACGAAGAGAATCAATTTTCATTACATTGCACCAACTGAGCACAGCAATAGCTTGAAAAAAGTGAAAATGCGCGGGAAAATTCACCGAAAACATACATCATCCTGAGTGTGGCCAAGCCTCAGTTATTGAAGTCTGCCTAAGACTGCCGGTCTGCGTAGTCGTAGTGCGTGGGGACCTCATTGAAGTATCCAAGTATAAGTAGCAAGTAGGCTAGGACCCGCTAGGTAGGCTACTTAAATACTCATTGTTTATACCGTCCATGACCATGACCATGACTGCATAGTGGCAAAGCAGAGAGTTTTTTAGACTCTCCCTCAAGTTCATTTTTTTGAGTCCTATAAGTAGACAAGCAAAGTATCATGGATACCAGCATTATCATACATTAGAAATTGGTTTAAACTTTAAATCTTGAGTAAATGAGGAAATTAAAAATGAACTGATTCTAAAAACTCTCTGGTTTGTCACTATCACACTATGACCATGAGTATACTTGTATATGAGTAAAACTTAAACAGTATACTTGTATATGAGTAAAATATATGTTCAGATTTGAAATGCCTAGCTGCCCTAGCGCCATATCGAACCCGGTGAAAGTCGAGTGAGGCTAGCTATTTCAAACTATGGGACGTCAGTCATGAAAAGACCCGGTCAAAGACTCAAATGACACGATTTTAGATCTTCTGTGAACAAGGCACGAAAAGGAAAAAATCGGCGACAGGCCATATCAGGGCTACACTTCAGCGCCGAGATCACCATCTTATGTTATTTGCTTCAGAATATGGTGGCGTAAACCGTAAAGCTCCTAATATTTAAAGCAAGGTGATCATGGTGAATTGGTGATGTGACGGGATGGTTACCGGCGGGCGGCTTAGCCCAATCCGCAGTTGATTGGTGGTGGTCCGGAAATTTCAAGGCTGATTGGTGTACAAATTTGGTGGTGCACGGCTGCGTACCCGGTAAATGACATAACGCAGACTGACGTAAACAGATCAAATGTCTAAATTCAGACATTTTTCCATAGATTGTGACATTTTAATAATAAAAGAAGAGATGTTTGTTTATGGTATACAAAATGCTTGGCAAGTTTTTTTTTTGCGACTGACGAGACACGGAGAAAGTTTGGGGAGGAAGACAGTGGTCCTCCATTAGCGCCGGCCAGAATATTCATATTTGAATTTTTGAATCCATAAAGATAATTAATTGGTTGCAAAAGGAATGTGCTATGAGGACTAATGAAAGACACTATTGATAGGTGTACACTTTATCATCTCTCTTCATCGCCAAGGCTTCTAATAATTTTCAAAAGCTGGTAGATCGTTAGAGCCTCGCCAGGCTTTATACCATAGGTTTTTTCCAAACCGTCAGGATTAGAGGGAGTGACGCACGAATCTAAAGGATCTTTCCGAAGTACTTTATCAATGTCAACCGAACTGAAGAAGGCCACTGCAAGAGGTAGGTCCGGCATCCCAACCCTGGCAGGGACCAAAAAAAAGATGTATATCCAAGTAGTGTACAAATTACGGCGGCAAAATTTTTGAGTACCTGACAGCTTTGGATGAGAAACGGGGTCCGTAAACATTGTCGTAAGCTAGAATAATTATGCCCACGCGATGACGAATTAGTATGTTATTCAGAGAAGCGTTTTTGGAACTAGCATAAAATTCAAGATGATTTGCTTTATACCTGAGAGCGAAGAGACATCTCGTGAGGAGATTGGTTATCTGTAGGGCAAGAGCTGCTCTGTAGCGATCCTCACTTGCCACAAGATAGCGTACCTGGTGATGGCGAGCCAAGAAATCATATTACTACTGGACTGTAAACCACATTTTAGTGAATACAAATAGTATTTCTGTGATAAATACAAAAAACTAATGATTTACGTCGGTTCGAACGATCACACATTTGGCAATAAATCCAGTACAAAGTTTACTCCGAGTCACGATTAGAAACAATCGCAGGACTACTACAAAAAATGTTATAGTATGTTTTTTTTACGATATAAAAATCAGATATAATAACACTGATTAGAGGTAAAATTTACGATCATTACATTATTTAAATACTAACTTCCATTAATTATAATCATTATCGGCAGACACCATGGTAGTTGAAAGCAAAAAATAATAACAATAGCTTGTGCTATTAACTTCTTTTAGAATCTAGATCTTCGATATTGTCAAGTCAATGAAAGGCTATTGCTAGAAACTGGTCGTTTTAATCACACGGTACCTTCAAAAAATTTGTGGCTGTGAAAAATCAACGACTATTTCAGGCATGCCTCTCGATTTGATTATTACAACAAGAAAATCGTAGATATAAATAAAAAACGACGAAGGAAGTACATACCTCATCATGTATGCTGATGCTGAAACGCATGTTGATGTTGTAGCGTTGAGCCAACCATTTCATGCACACGGTCATCAGGTGCAGGTAATCAACCGCTGGAGACAGTAAAATAATTCTAATAACACCGAGTGTTGCAACAAATAGTAACTATGATAACAACTTTATTATTTCATTGGATGCGCTGGCAACACACAGGTAACTTTGAACAATATTTAAACTACGGAATGAGATCTGCATATTGGTGTTTTTGAAATTATTGATAATTCAAAACCGCTGCAATAAATAGTCTGTGTTGTCATGCAATTATCACAATTAGTCAACAAACGCAGTAACTGCAGAGGCTATCATCACAAATTTGGCAAAATACCAAAAACGAGATAATGATTCGAGAATTAAATGACAGGAAAGAAGGCTTGAAAATAGCCAAAATTTGTCTCCGACAATTTTTATTATATATATATTTTTTAATTTGAGATGAACTTAGTGCTCAATTCTAATTTCTTCATATGCTTGCTTTAACCTGAGCTTTGTACGACCCAGTTCATCCTGCTGGTCATGTACTGGTTGCCGGCGTAGTAGGGTTCCAAAGGCTTGGAAATAGCGGCACCCAGCACCGGCGACACGGGACGTTCGCGCCGCACGATGTCTTCCAGGCAATTGAATGTGAACGACTCTGAGCCGTTAGTCCACACCGCAGGACTCTGCGTGATGTTTGCAAAGCTTGCGTAGTGCTGATGTTCTTTCATTAGACGACGAAGTAATGCATTGATCTGAAAACAAAGATGAGGTAAGATACATAGACTTCCAAACAACATTTTAACTACATTTTCAAAAAATAATTGAGGTACATATAATGTATATTACAAAATGCAAAACTTTCAATTAATTTAACAGGAACAGAAGAATTTGCGTAACAAAGAGAAAATTCGAAGATCTACTTCTAATTAACAGGCGTCCAATTAAATTTAACGTCATGGATTTCAAATACGCTCGTTATTGTAGTATGCATTCACTTACCAACTATAATAGCTCATGGAAATCATAAGGGAGAAGGGAAGACATTCTTAAATGGAAAAAAATTCGACCTTCCAAGTGAATACAAGACTTTTTTGTAGGGGGAGACTACAAAACATTTTGTAGGGGGAGAACATGTGGCATTGCAAGAGATAAAACAAATATCGTTTTTAATCGAAAAAAGGAATAACTTTGGGACGGAAACTCTGACAATCTTTGGCAAAAAGGTACGTCATTCTTTGAGAGAAGCATACAACATTCTTAGTTGCGGTAGGTATATGAAACATTCCTGGCTGGATAAAGGTTACATTATTAGGAGACATAAGGCATTCATGGCAAGGCAGACATTAGAGATTTTCAAGGAGACAGAAAATGAATGTGTTCCAGAAGCATGACTGGACATTTCTTTACCTCCTTCTTAGAGAAGGCTTTATCTCGGACGTCTTCACCCAACAGCGTTAACACTGTTTGACGAGCTTCATCATTGAGTCGCCATCCCTTCTCGCCTTTGGTGGCAGCCATGATGTCCTCTGCTCGTTGCCTGGCTATGCTTGGGGTCAAGGATGGGTTGAACTGCATGAGGAGAGTTTGCAAGAACTTCAGTCCTGCCCCGTAGATGCGGCCATAGTTGATCACCTGCAAAAATGAGCCATTAAATAATAAACTGCACAATTATTAAAAAATTTTTATATCGAAAGACTGTGGCAGGTAGTACAAATTACTAAACAACATAAATATGCTGTTTAGTCCAAATATAACATGTTTATTGAATATGTGGTGAGATCATTCTGGAATGAATGCGATATGAGATATCAAAACCAATAAGATGCCAAAAATAATGAAATATTTGAAGGTATTACTCATGGAATCTACAATATGAAATGATTTTGTGTGATCTAAAACGTTTCACTGATTAACACATTCTAATTATTACAAACCAAAAATGAAAACTCTATGGCAAGTCTTTTAATTACAAATTTAAGATAAAAGGAAACAATAATATCTTTTGATGATTCAATTAAAACATTATTATAAAATTTAATAGAACAGAAAAGAGCAGCATGATTTGATGACTATATTTTTTTTGGATATTTGAATGTGATTAGAAGATGTATGTATTCCTCCAAGTGTACATGAGAAAAACCTTAGCCTGATCTCTGGTGATGTGTGCAGTGATGGCAGTCTTGCTGTGTAGGTCGGTGCCTTCAGACTTGGTGCCTTGCAGGGTCATCCATGACATTGCTGTGCTGCCATGTACTCCTTCAAACAAGAAAATTCTTCATTAATTTACAATTTTAATTTTTTATCTATTGCAACTTCAACCATTTTAAAATGTTCAAATTGTTAAAAAATAATTTTGAAAATTAGTGGTGATAGCAAACAGAATAGGAAGGTATGTTTTTATATAGCCTCTGTCCTCATTATTTTATTCCAAATAAAAATATGAATCAGTAATTCAAATTCAACACATGTATGCAGTCAAGACATTAATGTTAGGGCCCTGATTTAAGCTGTCTTTAAAATCTTAACACATCTCAAGATTATAATAACCATACAAGCTTTGACTCACAAAAAGAATATCTTGTAAATCACTAGATGAATAATGTTTCACCTGAGAAATATGAGTCCCCAAGAAGTGCAGCAATCCAGAGTTCCTGTGAGTCGACATCAGCACCAACAAAGTGATAGCCTGGAAAGAAGGACTATATTTGATCACTCATGAGAGTAATGAATTTAGACATATTAAGAATTTTAAGCTTGTTTATTTTCTATCATTGCACAAAAAAGGTTCTGAATTTAGGATTAAAGATCAACACAAATGATTTACAGTCATTACTGATGTTAAATTGTTAACATTTAGATGAATTGAACCTTTCAAAATTTTTTAACAAATTCACAGATAGATAAAGCAAATTTCAATATGTTAACCATTAGAATAAAACAGCTAGTCTTCAAAAGAAGCAAAATAAATGTTCACAAAGGAGAACATACCAGGAGGAGCTGTAATCATTGCCTTGAGTTCAGAACCAATTCTGTCAGCTCGAGCATTGCTAGCAGTTAGCCAGGTCTTCTCAACTGCTCTACGTGTAACAGTGCCACACACAACAACCTGAGGCAAGACAGCTCCATACTTTGCCTCTGGATTAAATTCATCTGGAATTGTAATTTGCACCATAGTAAATTGCATGAATACTTTCAAAGCAAATATATATAGCATAGTTTACCAGTCTAAAGACAAAAAAGAAATGAATGTCATGGCAATAAATTTGTGAGTAGATTGGTTGCAAGAAGAGAATTTTTCCAAAATAAAAAGTACCAGCAATATAATTAAAATATCTATAAACTAACCGGATGAAAGTGAGCATTCTGGAAGATGGTTATTGTCAAGCCAAACTGTGTTTTGATTAAGAATTCGGTCTCTAGCATTCCTCCAATAAGAAATGCTTTTTGTAGTTCTCAGCACAAGCTCAGCTACTTCTTTTATTTGACTACTCAATGTACCATCTTCAATTTTGTTCAAGAAGTCTTTTGCTAAAGGATTTCCAACATTGTGACCAGGTCCATTTTTGTGAGGAAGTCTGATGAACTCTACACCATTAATTCCAATATCAATTGGGTGATCTTCTGAGACTTCCAAGCTTTTGCTCTTGGCAGAAATTTTCAGCTTTGTACCACGAGGAGTACCATAAAGAAGCTGTTCCCAGTCTTCCTGAGTTTCTAGGAGTTCATCAATTACACTTCCACCTGGAATAGGTGTCTTTACAGGACAAACATTGTAGAATTCTTCATAAGGAAATTCTATTTCAGACAAATTTTCATCGCTTTGAGAAGAGTTGTTTTCTAGCTCATCAATAGCTGCCAGGTAATGCTTGTATGAAGCATACTTAGGCCTTAGGTAGCCCCAGCCATAGTCCTTTTCATGATGGAGGGGATACCCTTTCCAGGTCAATCGAAGAAGTTTGGGTACAACTCTGAGACTTGTGCTCATGTTGCCTGGCTCTGGAGTTCCTTCTCTGTCTCCAGAGGTTTTACAGAGCTTGACATACCAGTTGGGAGTACTTTTGCCTTTTTTCTTCAACTTGGTCATAACAGTCCAATCTAAGTTCCAGAGCCAAGGATCTTTTTTATATTTTCCATCCCTGAGTTTCAGAGCATCTACAGCTCTTTCACCAAGTTTTTTAGTTAATGCTGTTTGCATAATAAAATACTGTTTATCAGCATTTTCTATATACTTATTCCATGACTGATTAATAGGTAAGTAACTAGACCCCATCTCAAGCATGCCAGCAAAACTAACAGGATGAGGACAGCGTTCATAAAAAAGTGGTAGTAGGTTGATCAAAACTTCATGGGTGGCTTGTACATCCAAAGCACAGTAGGCCATCAAATTTTGAAAATCTTCTCGAATGTCATCCAATGTTCCTTTAACAAAGACATCTCTTGTAGATTTCTTTAGTTCTTTTTTCTTACAATAAAATTTGTAAACATCATTTAAATTATTGACAGTGCCTACAGACATCCAGGGCAGGTGGACTTTCTTTGTTGCAACACTGTTCTTCATTATCATAGCACGTTGCTCTTGGACTAGTCCACTCACAGCAATATGAAGGGACATGGTATCAACAAACCTTAAAGGATAATCAGGTACATGATACTGTTCTCTAATCCTAATTCTATCATAGCTAACATTATGGCCAACAATAATTCTAGGTTTTTGGTTATCACTTCTTGATGGGTTACTTCCTCCAAATGGAATCAGGTCATCCAACTTCAACTCACAGCCCTTAGTCTGTGGAGCAGTCATTTCATCTGAACATTCCTCATTTTCTTCTGACACTTCTGAGTTATAATTTAAGATCTTCCTTTCGTTATCAACAACAGAGGCAGAAGAAAGGAATTTTGAGCTTTTCATGTTGCTATTATTTGAATTAATAAGTTCATGGCTGCACCATGAATACCAATACTTGTCAGAAACTGCTGAAGCCAGTGTTGGTTGGTTGCCATTATTAACACACACCTCCACATCAAAGACAAAAGCATCACATTCTGGTGCATCAACACTGATACTTGACCCATCTGGGTAATACTTTGTCCACCCTTGAGAAAAAGAGAATTTTACAGGAGCTTTAGGTAGCTTTTGGCGAGTTAATTTGTGTAAGAGTTCTTTATATGGCTTTACTTGCTCAGTTGCAATACTTACAAAGTGGGAGTTTAAATCATCACCCAAAAGTTTTGGAAGCTTAAGAACAACATCTTGATTTTCAGTATTCTTCTTACCCCACAACTTCTGTGCTGTCAAATGTTGGATGCATTGAGACAGGTCAGCCTCATCAGTTTCTTCTGATGTGGAAGAACAAGAATTATTGAAAATTTGCTCAAAAAGGTTCTTTGATAGCATTTGTATGCCAATAGAATTGTGTCTTCTTTCAGAATCAACTTCATCAATGGATTTAGAATTGAGAGTTTTTGGGGCATACTGCTGTTCTTTGTCCACTGATGCCAGATGTACCTTTCTAGAAATTATCCCAAAATAAAAACTAGAGTCAATACAAAACTCAGAGCAGAAACTCACATGCCCTCTTGTAATTTTCATATTTTTCCACATATGATAAGAATTTCCTAGTTTCAACATTGTTGAGTTATTTACTGAATTAGTTTAAGATAAAGGCTAAGCAATGTATAAGCCAATAAATCCTTCTGACAATCAATGAATATCAAAGCCTTGATCTGAAATAGGAGTAATACAGCAATGTTACTAATTAGAATGAGCAATAATGAAACTTGCACAGGAAATATTATATACTGTCAAATGGTGTAATAAGAGACTGGTGGGGTAAATTGGGACAGTCCTCCATCAGGGCATAAAAATGTTATAGCATCAAAACAAATGGAAATATTGCAAAACTAAAAATAGTGAAACAAACTTCAATATTTTTCCTATCTATGTAGCATAAAGGAAGTTAAGAAATCATACATTTACTAGCTCTAAATATCCCTGAAAAAATGTTCAAAAATTATATTTTGGAAAAGTACTTCTGTTAAGGTCTGTAGTAAAAAAATATTTGAATTAAATTCTTGTTGCAACAATGTTGCTTTATTCAACTACTTGGCTACTTTATCAAATGCAAAAAGAATTTTTACAATGCACAGCTCTATTACTGGTGATGTCAATGATTCAGCCAATTCAAATTTTAATGCATGCATGTGTACTTGAGTTTGACAGTGTATTGTTTGTTTGTGTTCATGGAAACTGTGAACTGTGGAGCATCTGATGATGGAGCCTGATGCATAAGAGAGTGAGAGACTGGAAATGATAAGAGTGATAAGGGATGAGAGGGGTGAGGGTGATGGTGTGATGTATGAGCAAATGGGAGACAAATGGATTGTGATGATAGTGGGTCTGTCCGAAGGGGTGATTGCTGCTATGACTTTAGCGAGGAAAATATCTACTCTCTGAACCGCGACTGGATTTTTTGAGCCATGGTTTTATGGATCAGCAAGCTGTGATTCCATTTCTTTGAGCTGTGAATTCCATATCCTGGCCATGAAGAGCCATTTATGAGCTGCAAACTCATTAACCAAGTCCTGTGCACATGTTACATAAAATCTATAATTTTACCCTAGAAAAAGCAACAAGAAAATTTATCTTTACTTTAGAGGCAACTGAACACATGATAACATGACATGACCTGCAACTATGCAATATCCAATGAAACATTTTGGTTATTTGTTATGCTGGACCTGCAGAAGCTCTCAGGCTCAACAGTCATCCTTAGGGTTGTTCTGTGGCTTAAATTCCACCCAGTGTGGACATTCAGAAAAGAAGTTATGCTGGATATTTGGCAGGAGCAAAGTACTAAGTACTGCAGAAGTATAAAATTTTGTGAAATGAGAGGTTTGTGAACCATAATTTCTACAATCAAACAAAAATATGTTGCATTAGAGCAGCAAGATTTCATACCTATGGAAATTCTATGATATTAGAGCCACAATATTTCAGAAAAAAGTAGGAATTTTCCCAACTAGCTATGACTGAGAGTGGAAAGCGATATTTGGAGAGTGCATGGAGAATGAGGGGAGGAGGACGTTGGAGATACCATAAAAGGGGGTTACTTTGACTACTTTTTTTTAAATGCCATTTTTTTACTAGCTAAATTAAACTTAAATTTAAACATGCAAAATACAGGTCTATACTCTTGGATCACTCACCATAAACTGCTGGCTCCTGCCTCTCATATTTGATGTAATTTCAAAAAAAGTGATGGTCATTGTTACCCCACTCTTGGGGTATCTTTGACTGGGTGGTAAAATCAATTATATTTTTTGGTAAAATTACTCCAGGTTTTGGTGCATTGTAGACTTGTAGTAGAACTCTTCTAGTTATATATGCAAATGACAAATTTGAGGGAAGTGTCATAGTTTGCAAATGGGGGTGCCACCCCACACCCCCCAATGGCAATGGGGGAACTTTGACCACCTAATGTCAGCCCTGACGGGGTAATATTGACTGGTATTGATATGACACCACTCTTACCTAATGGAAAACTGCTGAAGATCTTTTGATTAATCCAGGTGCAACAAGTGCCCTATTGAGAGCAACTCCAGTCATCTCAGAATGGATAACAACAACATATATGAATTATAAGATAATAAGATATGTAGCAGACAAAATTATTGTTTCACTCTTTTAATGCTAAAAAAATTTATTTTTAAAATTAGGTATTTATTTTGTCATTTGATTCATGCATTGTCTCCAACTTTATGCAAGTGTGCAAAATTTCAGATCGATAGGATAAGTAGAAGTGTGTTAAATTTTGATTATAAGATTTGCAGCAGACAGACAAAGTACAAACAAGAAGTGAAGTTAACCCTTTCCCAGACGGATATAGATGTACGATGAAATTGCAATATTTGACAATTGTACTTAAAAGTATGACCAATTCTAAGATATATTTACTTGTAGGTAAGCATTTTTCGAAAAATTTTGTATATAAGTAGAAAATCACAATTAATAAATTATCATATATGGGGTCTTGCCAGCTTAAGGTACAAAAAATTTGCGGATTTTGACATTGAAAGTTTACTACTTAGATGGTAAATAAAATGTATAAAAAAAATTTTTTAAGACCACATTTTTCATGTGGACTCAAAAGTAGAAAATAATTTTTCGGCAGCTACTGATCTCTGTTTGCTTTCATTCTCTTGGTCTTTTGTATTTCAGTTAAAATATTTTACAACATCTAAAACGAAAAACGTTGGGCGCATATGTATTTAATTGTTTGGTGATTACTTGATATGATGAATATGATGGTTCATTGAACATTTGATAAGTGTATTGCTGATATAATTAGAAATAGTGGTTGAATTCAAAATTGAAATTAAGGCATGCCTAAATGAAGATGCAGGGAGCTGAGCTTCCCTAAAAGTTTCAGAGCGCTAGCTAATGGGAAAGTTGGTGAAATATCAATTGCAAGATTTGATCATCACAGACACGAAAGCGAGCTAAGAAAAACGTGGTAAAAACATCTTGATTGCTCTTTTATGCATGTATTATAACACATAAAAATGAAGCAATCAAGATGGACAAAATTATAGGTACATTTAGTATTTTATGGCAAGATATTTCCAGACCATCCATATAATGAGACATCCATGCCATTATTGCCATATGTAAAGAGTCACATTCATATACAACATATACCTAAAACTAGCAAAAAAATTGTCAGTAAGAATTAGTATTGGTGAAGGACATGTTATCATCTGGGTCAGTACAGAGACCAATCAGACCATCTTGCTTGCAACCCGCGTTGGCTCTAGTCTATGTTCTGTAGCGAAGGGAATGCCAAGAGCTTGGACTGCAGAGTGCAGTCAAAGTCAGGGAAAGCATCAAGTGCTGAACTATAGGTAAGTTAGACTGAAAAACATGGCTTAAATCATAATACTGCTAACCACTAAATGCTAACAAACATATTTACCAAGCGCTGTAGAAATTTACCTTTAGCGGGCATATGACCAAACATAGTCACTTCCATCTCTAAGCACTGGCAGGCGTATGCTCATATATGATCACACTAATTTTCGCAATCATATTTCACCATCTTGCATTTGCTTCCAGTAAATGGCATCATAATCAGTCGATAAAGCAAGTTTTTTACTATGATACTAGCAACTCTCATGGCCTTACCTACAGTTCTTCATGGGCTAGAGCAGCTAAAGTGAATACAATGAGGGTAACACTTAAATTTTTTTTATAGTTGGGGTTAAGACTTGTGGTGACAAATGCGCCCACCAGCCTGTTCTCTGTCAGAAAGAGAAAGCAAAGCAGCAGACTCGAAGCTCTGCTAGACTAGGATGCTGCCTCCAACACACTATGGACCAATGCAGTCCACACTTGCTGAGCCTCACAGCCAAAAGCTGCTTGTGCCCGGAGATGATCCTGTTGCAAGGTAGATATTCTGGCAAGTTACAAGTTTTTTATATACTTACATGCATAAATCGCTCTCCGTCATAGTAGATTCACCATGCCTGTCTGCAATAAAAATTGTGATAGATAAGCAAATACTAAAGGGTGTTGTGCTGCAGGGATCTCAGCTCCTAAGGCTTTGTTCAGGTTACAAGAGACTCCAATGCTAGCCAATGCGGTGGTAAAGGCTGCTCTAGGACCTGCAAATCTAACACAATCAAGTATGAAATGCGAGATGGTGTCCTGGTGAGCAGGTTGAGAGCAGGTTGGCAAACAGAGCAGGTTGAGTCCTGTGCCATCCCAAAGTGCACCCGGTGTGCACCAACGCCCGCGTGGCCAAGGCGCAAATGGGCCACTGCACACTGCATTCTCCGACTGAGGCAGCTGTAGTCAATGTGATCGATAGAGTTTTCAAGAGTTAGTCAAAAATGGCCACTGCCAGTCTCTGCAACCTGTCTGCTCCAGTGTTCCTTCCATTGGATGAGGAATGATTGTTTCAATTGGCACATTAACTCCTCAAAGCACAAGATAGAACGAGAAGATCTGTCAGTGCTATGAGAAAGGTTGGCAACCCGGTCAGCAATCTCATTGCCTCTCACTCCACTCTGGTTCACCCAGCAGAGGGAGACTGAAGTTAGACCTTTCTGTAAAAGCAGCATGTGAATTCTAAAGACTATTGAAGCATAAGTGGGGCACTGAGTGTTCCTGATAAGGTACAAGGAGGATTTTGAGTCTGTAAATGTAACCACTGGGCGGCTTTGAAGATCTCCATGACTTAAGGACTAATTCCAGTGCCTTGTAGATGGCAAACAACTTTGCACCCATTATTGTGTGGGTTGGTGACAGTAGCCACCCTGTTGCCAGTGACAGTGAGGGAACATATACACCAGCTGAAATTGAGCCCTCAGCTGAGCGTGAACCATCTGTGTAGATCTGAACATGGTCAGGGTAAGTAAATTCTAGCCTATGAGCTAGTAGAGTAGAGGAAGAGCCAGGTTGAAGAGACACAGAGAGCCCTGCTCCTGGGTCCAGACAAATGTTCCCACACAGGGAGATGTTTGGTGGGATGGGAGAGAAGGCAGGGGTGCCCACTCTTTGTGGAAGTGAGATTCCATGATCATTAAACAAAGATTACACCTGTGCTGCAAATGGCTGTTGATTGATAGGAGCACCATCCCAAGAAAGCCCCAGCAGACAAGTCAGTAAGCTCTGCTCAGGCAAATATAAATATCGTAGGGTCCATTTCATGACTAGAAAGCGAAAACGAAGACAAAGAGGAGGTAAAAAACATTCTGTCTCCAGTGACAAAATTGGAGAGGTGCGATGGGCGCCAAGGATTAGGCACAGTGCACTGTTTTGTATTCCATTAAGGAGC